GCAAGGTTCTGAAAAAGGTAAAACTACCACAAGGATTTGCATCAGATATTTCTCGTTGTGTGCAAATGAAGGAATTAAAAATATCAGGATATAAAAGTCATGATGCACACATTATGATGCAGTATCTACTTCAAGTTGCAGTACGTAAAACACTACCGAAGCACGTGGCTCTTGCTTTGATAAGGTTGGGTGCATTTTTCCGAGGCCTTTGCAATAAAGTAGTAAATCCACTTGATCTGAACCAGTTGCAACATGAAATAGTTGAAGTTCTGTGCATATTTGAGAAAATATTTCCACCTTCGTTCTTTGACTCCATGATGCACTTGCCTATCCACTTAGTAGATGAAGTTAAGTTGAGTGGACCAGTACATGGATGGTCGATGTTCTCAATTGAGAGATACCTTGGAAAACTGAAATCAAATGTTCGGAATCGCAGCCGTCTAGAAGGTTCTATTGCCGAAGGATATTTGGCAGAAGAGTGTTTGGTGTTTTGCTCAAGATATTTGAAGGACGGTGCTAAAAAACGATCAAGGAGCGGAACAAGAAATTATGATAAAATTGTAGTAAGTGAAGAAAATTGCCCTATATTTCCTAAAGTCGGTCATCCCCTTGGGAGGAAAAAAAACAAAAAAAAGGGACATTGTTTTATCTAGACACCTGGATGAAGAACACAACACATCGATATGTGTTGTTCAATTGTGAGGATGTACAAATTCAAAATTATCAGAAGTGAGTAACTCTTTAATTGATATTAGTATGTCTTTTATTTAAAATATAATGCATATAATTAATAATATGTTGTTTATCCAAATTCAGGGAGCATGAAAGAATGATGGAGATCATGTCGAAAGATAAAAAAAGAAAGAGGTGGAGGCAAGCTCAACAACATAGCCAAGAGTTCATGTTTTGGCTTAAAGAAAAGGTTGAGTTAGACCAAGACCAAGTTCCTCCTTATATTAAATGGTTGTCTTTAGGACCATGTAATGTTGCACGAAGGTATGTGGGTTATATTGTTAACGGATATAAATTTTACACTAGAGTACGTGATGCAAAATGCAAAACTCAGAATAGTGGGGTTACATTGACAGCTTTAACATCGAGTTTTGCGAGTACTAAGGATCATAATCCCGTTACTGAAAAAGTTCTTTATTATGGAGTGATACAAGAGATCATTGAGCAAGATTATTGGAGCTCGTTTAGTGTCGTGTTATTCCGATGCGACTGGTTTCATGTAGAAAATGATGACTATGGTTTCGCTCGTGTTAATTTCAACAAGAATTGTTATTCAGATGACCCTTTTGTGCTAGCTTCACAAGTGCATCAAGTCTTTTATATTGAAGATCCAATAGAAGAGGGTTGGCATTACACGATAAAGAATTTGCCAAAAGAGTTTTTTGGTTTCGGTGAAACAGAGGAAGCGTTTTTGGTTGAACCTAATGAAGTTCTTGATGATATGATAGGGAATATGGTTAATGATAGTGATGATGTGAGATGGTGTAGAGAAGATATACCTCATACTGTTGTTGACATGCATGACAATACTTTCCCCAATTATTCCGATTATGCTTCTGGTGAGAACCATGGAAATGAATGGAATATGGCTGGCACAAATTTATCGTGTATTGGTCCTTGAGATGAATCTTTTCTGTCATAAGGTAATCTGTTGAATTATATGATGGTCAGGTTTTTACTATTATAAGTCTTATATAGTTAATAAATTTATCTCTATTGTCCATAAATTATCAGGCTTAGCAAAGTTGGAGAATGAATTGGATATCCAGATTAGGCTTACAATGATGTAAGTTAAAGTTATAATTTGAAAATTTGTGGAATGTAGTTCATGTTTNGTCTTAACTCTACATTATTGCTTGATTCTAAGTTTGGTTATTTTTTATTTTTTGGTTTTACTTGCTCTTTTTCTTTTGTATCAGATGGAATGAAGATTTATGAATGAATTGGAATGCAAATAGAGGTATGATTTCAAAACTTCCAGTTGATATTGTTATAATAAGTTTCAATTGGGTTTCATATGGCTTATAGACTTCTCCTAGGCATTATATCAAACAGCTTATGTGCAAGGCTCATTTGGCTCAATTTCAGGTTAACCTGTTCACAGTCACTCGACTCCGAAGAATCAACTTTAAGCCATCAGAAGTCATTCACTGGTTACCAACCTCACTCACTTATTTCATGTGTCTTATGGATCAGATGGAGAGGCACATGTCATTATTTCTTTATTTTTGTTATATGAATCGTTTTTATGTAAACTCCTTCAAATGTTTTAATGCTCAAAGATATGATGTTTATATTTCCTCCATCCTCGTCGTCTCCGACATGAAGAAATGAATATGTGTATGGCAGCTAAAGTAAAAGCAAAAAACTTGTGCTATATAATTTCTATAGGTCTTGTTTATGTGAGAGGTCTCTTTTAAGTGCTAAATATGAATAATTCTAATTACTATTACTTTTCATTCCATTTGTAAGTAAACAAATGAGCTACAAGCAGTTAGCCATTAGGTATTATATTTTCAAAGATATAAGTCTACATAAACTTTTCAATTTAAGAATTGATTACAAAAAAAAAAAGGTAAAATGATTTATGTCGAAAAGAAACAAAATTCCTTGAAACAATTTCTAAATGAATACTAGTTATGCTAAATGAGGCTCTCACTCACGGGGTAGGCTTAACCGTAGTTGGTTTCTGGCTAAGTTGTTACCGAACTATTTATCACATTCTCTAAATTGACAAATCTATCTATCTATATATATATATATATATATATATATATATATATATATA